TTGTCCCACTCAGGATTGCACCCCAATCCCCGGAAGTTATATGCCATGCCATTTATCCTATTGAAATTTATCCTATACAATTGAAATTAAGGCATGTGCTATATTAGTGTTCTGCATTAAATGTCAATTCCCTCCCCTTTAGAAAGTGTATAACAATAGTAAGAAGTGCTATTTTTTAAATAAGTGTGGCTACTTAAGGCCAGAACAGCAAGAGGAAACACTGATGTTGGAAAACAGGTTTGACATGCCGACGATGCTTTTATATTTATACTTACAAGAACTTATGACCAGTATCCCTCTCATCATTAAATTATTCTTATTACCTCACAGAGTAATGGAACTTTAAAGACTGATTTTATATTACTGAAATAGTACAGAAAATGAGTTGCTCACTAGCCATGGTTTCCTTTTCATCATCGTTTTTTGGGAAAAATTCTATAGATCCTATATCTACTGCATGTATAATGAAAAATATCAATACAAATATCCAGAAGAGGAAATTTATCTATAGATTCACTCATTCACTTTTGATCAGTAATGAACTGCATAGAAAACGTGACCAAGCTTTTGTAAAAAGAATCTTGCAACATAACAGTACACTTTTTTTCCCCCTTTTTTAAAAAATGACTTTCAAATAGGTTTAACCAGCTTGTTTACAATCAGTCATAGTTACACTTTGTCAAGATAATTAACACTGATGTTACTTATAATGTTTCCAATTACGTTATATTGCAATAGACATGAACTTTATATTTGTATCTGCATATATTTACAATTAAAACAGTGCACAGGACAATCTAATTTTTCTTCAATATCAGAAGTAAAAGATTAAACAATTGTGGGAAAGTTTGATAAAACAAATTCTAATGCCTGGAATTTAGCAGCTTAACATCTTTTTCTCTTCTGTGCTGTTGATTTTGGTTTGTCCTGTTCTTTTTCTTTTATTGTTTTGAAATGCGTTCCCCTATCATGGCTGATGGTTTCTTATTAAATTATTTATTGATGTGGCAGACACATGTTGAATAGGTTCATTAAATTTCACAAGTTGTTGGAGTCTAGTTCACCCGAATAAGGAGAAAAAAAACCACTTTAGACTCTTTAGGACAAAAAAGTCATGTTTCTGAGCTTTTCTAAAGCATTTAATAAAGCATGAAAAGATATTATATCAATCCCACTAAAACACAAGGGGAAATGAATGATGTTACTGTAAATCTTTACATCAATCACACCCGGTATTTTTGAAAACAATATAGTTTTGTTTGCATTTCAGAAGTGACAAACAACTCTTCTGACTGTCTTAACATAGTCCCTTTCCATTAGTCAAGACCAGAAGCAAGTCAGAATTAAAATGTGGCCCATGGTTGCTAGGCAGCTGAGTTGTCTTGACATGGTGGTTAGCTTCCTTTTCATTGAATGACAACAGTGAAATGAAAGAAGTTTTGAAAAACTTGATAATGGTTTTCAAAGGAGGAGGATAATTGGTGGTGCTTGTGCAGCGCTGTGTGGAAACTTTCAGACTGCAGTAAGGGACGACTGTCACTAAAAATTTAAACTCTTGTACACAAACTTGACCTGGAATCTTCTCTAGGTTTTCAGCAGTTCATTTGTAGAGCACTTCTCTCAGCCCAAGGGGTGCTGGGATGAAAGAGTTAAGACAGATGGGTAAAGCCCCAAAGGAAGAAAAGAATCAATAGGTGTGATTTAATCCATCAGTGAAAGGGAGGAATTAAGTAAAATCTTTTAAATGGGAAATGTGTAAAAGACCTTTTGATAGTACTTAGACAATACAAATATTTTTGTCATATGATTGCAGTTGAGAGCTATACCTGCATTTGATCTGTAAAATAAAATACAGATTATTTTGGCACATTATGCCAGAAATTAAGGAATTTTCCTGCTGTTTGTTTTTTATATTCTCTAGAGTCTAGGCAATAGATAATTTAATTCAAACAAATTTATCCTAGATGACAAAAAACTAAGGCATAACAAGATGATTGCAAGGTAAGCTTTTGCAGCCAGTGTTAATGATGGAAATTAATGGGACATTAATATTAATAACAAAGTTGCTATGCAGTAAAATTTCTGTTAAACTGATATAAAAGTCAAATTTATGTATAACTGTCCATATAATTAATATACCTTAAAAAATGAGCAAAATGTACCCATAATGAAAGAAGGGACCAATTAGGGCTAGATTAACATTCATGGTTATTTACAGTTGTTTTTGTACTTGTTCTTGTGCTCTGACTTCCTAAAATTTCACAACCCAAAGATTTAGAAAAATGGGGTTGTTTAGACGCGAGGTGCAATGAAGTGGCTGCAGCCATTGTGCAGACACCACCTCTCTCATTATATCCTCTCAATCAACACTCGGCACACAGGAAACCGCAATAAAGCCCATCTGCCACGGTTAATCTGCAGGCAAACCCACACCCATGTCTGTGCCCGTTACTCTCCAGCCTTATTATTCTCAGATCCAAAGCTTCATAAGGGATCAGCCAAAGTCCATTAAAGTAAATAATAGCTAGAAATGACAGGCTTAGCAAGGATTGGGAGGAAGTTGAAGACCAATCTGAGCTGTGAGCTCTGATTAATAGAGAAAAGCATTAGGAGAAAAGGGGAGAAAAATGACCTCAGCCTGCTCCAAAGAATTCCTGAACCTTGGTTGTTAGGGCAAGTGCTACCATCTGAGACGTTAGTGATCCTTGAATTTCCTTCACTTTGATGCAGCTCAAATGGGAAAATTTTGAAGGTTCAGCAAGGCCCCAGACCTCAGCTGGAAAGCTGTCTGGAGTCAACCCTGTCAAAATTCTCTTGTGTAAAAGAAAGCCTTTATTAGCTAGATTGCAACAAAAACCCACAGACTCTAATAAGAAGATAATGCATGCTATAGATTGCACATATATTAATTATTAGATGGTATTTAATTGTTCTTAAATGTATCCTAGTGCAGTGTGAAAAAGATCTTTTAAATACCAGCCATAGCAAAAAAAAAATAAAAAAAAATAGACTCTTCTCCCCCCTATTTTTCTTTGTTCAACTTCATTTTAAAATAGGACATTCACTTCATTAACAAATGATAAAATGTACTGCTTGGGAGGATTGGCAGATAAGGTTGATGGCTTGCAAGGATGTTCTTGTGTAATGTTTACTCTCCATTATCTCAGCTGTGTGTTGCACATGAACAGACTATAAAGCAACCACTGCCAAGTCAGCACTACACAAGAATTTCTTTCTTTCCCCCTTTTGACTGGCTTGTAGTGTTAAAAAAATTAATTATTTTAAAAACAAAAGTCTGGAAAGTTCAAAAACATTTGCTGCCATTTTCTATGCAAATTCTTTCGCTCTCCTTACATTATAATATCTGCATGTGGCTTTTTGACCACTACTAACCATAAGCAGTCTTCTACTGTTCATGTTAGTATCCCCTGTCTTTTCTTTTTAAAACCTCTGATGCAGTGTCTAATACTTCACATCTCATATCAGCCATGCAAATTCTGGTGAACAAAAACCTAAAAAAAAGACACTTGCAAATGATTTTATAACAGTATGGGGAAGCAGCTTCTAAGCTAATCAATATCAAACTGCAAGCCAAACAAAACTACTCAGAAACATCTGGTGCAGTGTACAGGTGTTGGACAATCCCTGATGATTTCTTAGGAATATATTAATGATCTGGATGAGGACTTTCTGTCAAGGAAACTCATTCTATGATGCATTCCTCCTAAAAGTTTATATTACAGTATACAGTTTTCATAAATAAAATGTAGAGAACGGTGGTTAAAATGATGGCTGTGTCAGGATATTGCTGATAACTTGGCTAATGCGCTGTTCATGTACATTTGATGCAATTTTCATATTTTAATCTTAAATAGAACCTGAAATGACAATTATGAAAAGACAAAATAGATACCACCAGCAGCTGTAATTGCTATCTATGCTGCTCAAGGATAGGCAAAAGACACAGTAAATCAATATTAAGTTCTCCACATATGCAGGTATCACAACAAGGACATCATATAACATCATTATAAGCAAATCCTAATACAATGTGGACAGTTCTTTCAGAGAATACAGGATGAACATAGAATGTGTGAACCTAACTAGTTCTCTGTAGTGTCAGCTGGTGTCTTAAGGAAAAATAAATGTCTGACTCTTTAAAAGAATAGTGATCTTTCTATAGATTGAATGTATGTGAGGGGGAAAAACAATTTTCAAATATTTTTTCTTAAGTGAATACACATTATTGGCTTTACTAAATAGAATTTATGCAGTTTTCTTTTTATCCTTCTAATGTAATGGAACTATAAGACATTAAAGGGTTAAATGATAGAGGCTACTTGTAAAATGGTAAACTAAAATGCCTCTTATTGCTAAGTAAACCAACCATTTAAATGACATGTTATATTTGGATCATTTGGGCCTGAGTGCTCAAACTTTGTCTTATTAAACAATTCCTTATTAAAAATATATATATTCTGGCACTAAAGAAATTGTGCAAGACTTTCAGAAAAGCAAGGACAAATAATATCACAATGCAGCTTGCATATAGGGTTTGTTGTAAGTAAAATGGAATGAAATATGAAATTGTAGAATGCAGGCAAGATCTGCATGCCAGCAAAACTTAAAGGAGGCAAAATCATTGGACTCAAGTAATATACCAAATATGGACCACTCCCCACTGCAAAAAAAGGAAGTAAAACCTGCTGATGTATGGAATCTTTATATAAAATATAAAAAATCCTGTGGCTTTTTTTAAACTACACTATGGCTTCAAAAAATAATGCTTATTAAAGCATACAAGAGGAACAGGTCTGACTTGAACTCTAGCCTTATGAACACATTTTATATGACTATTTACTTTTCTTTTTAATGGGGAACACAGTAACCCACAGCACCATCTGATATATACTCTGTTGCCTCTGATATGTTTTCTTTTGAAATGAACATGTTCAGAAATATCAAATTCAATCTTTCATACTCATCTTTTAAAAATATTAAAGCTGCATTCACAAAGCACAAGCAATACCTGCAAATGATTTTTTTAAAAACCTTTCTTTGTTTAATACAACATATTTTCACATTTACTTCTCCTTTTGTCTTCTAGGGTAAGGTGACTAATGCCAGTCATATGTACAGTAGCTTTCTCTAAGAACTGAGCCTCGCTTTGCATTTAGACATGTTCATATTGAATTTTGATATTATATAATAAAAAGGGAAGCGATGGAACAATTTAATAATATTTTTGCCATTTTGTTTAATAATGGTATAAATAATACTATACATTTAAATGGGTTTTGGAATATATTTGTTTACACAGGAACAGAAATAATAATCTCTCAGTAACATTCTATCAAATGGTCCATCAATCAAAAGAGTCCATCGTTAGAATCAAAGTATCTTCTGCTGGTGAGAACTAAAAAACAAAACAAAACAAAAAATGGATTGTGGCATTGAATCCATGATTCTTGGGTTATTATACAGTAACTCCAGGCTGTAGTTCCTCTTATGTTACAGGTTAGTCTCCCTTGGATATTTTCTTCCAGTTATACTCTTAAATATATGTGTGGATCCCAGATATTCCCATGGTTTCTGTTTAGATTAATGTAAGACCCTTGTTCCTCACTGGAAATACTTACTATTCAGTAAAAATATTCTATACATTTACTTTAAAACACTAAATTTGAATCTGTATGTATACCCACATAGATTTGCCCAACTTCAAAATATATACTAAAATAACTACTTGTACTCTTTAATCACTTCAGATGCAGTTCAGGAAAATTGAGTTTTTTCAAAACACACCAATAGATTGCATTTTACATATCATGCTATTTGAAATTGTGACTCCACACTGTAGATATGTTGCAATCCCCCTTATGGGAATCACACATATAAATGAACTCTCCTTATAATGAAGTAGAGTGACAGTCCTGATTTGTTTCAATAGTTTGCAATGTATTCATTGCAATTCTGACAACAACGCAGGTTATACTGAAGCTCTACTCATAAAGTTCTGCAGAAAAAAACATGAATTTATTGTAAGAAGATAATACCATATATTTTAAAACAGAAATCATTTTCTTCCACAGAGTGAAGATGTAGCTTGAATATGGAAACGTTTGTACATTATCCAAAAGCTTTTGATTGCACAGTTGTCTGCACAACTGTGGATATAACTCTGGGAACTTAGGGCCTATTAACTAACCATAACATCTCTCCAGCCTTTATATTACCTTAAGTTGTTTTTTGTTGTTGTTGTTGTTGCATTTGTCACCTTAAAAAGCAAATTCTTACTTTGCCTTATTTACTAGCCAGAAAAAACACTATCTCTCTTTTTCACACACGGTAAACGACAAGTGGGTAGAGCACCCCTCTTTTTCTGTGTCCTTTCTTCCTTTCAGCCAAAAAAAAAAAAAAAGTGAGATACAGGAGAGGATTGATACTAGAACTGTTAGGGATTTGGGGTCTGTTCTCTTCCCGAAAATGAGGAAAAATCAGATTAAATATTTGACCCTGTTTTAATGTATTTGGACAGGAGCAGAAGTTCATTTTAAAGCATCCCTGTTTGGGATTCCCTTGAGCCTTTTAGACTCCCTAGGATTACCTGCAAGAGAGCTGGGACTTCATTTCTACTGTAAACATGCTTACATTTCAGGACAAACATAACAACAGTAACAAATAGCCCTACTATGTCTCATACACTAAGTGTGGGCAAGTGTTCCTTTACCAAAGCTGTCTGTAGAAATGGATTCAAAACATGGCCAAAATTGAAATAAATTATATAGGGTGTATCTAGTTTGGGGGGAAAGAGATTTGTGTGTGTGTGTGGTAAGGGAGGAATGAGGTGCTGTTTATCTCACCATAGCTTACCACTCTGTCTCTCTTTGGATAATAATCATAGGACCCATATGCTAAAACTAAGTAATATTTTCCCACAAGCAGCTTCTGTCTCCTTGGCAGCTTTGTAGGCAGTTGTGTTGGTAGCTCTGGATATGTCTCTGGCTCTCTTATGTGGTTTTGCTCTTGATGGGCTGCCGAGGCTGCCCTGTGCTGCTAGATACCATTTTCCTCTGTCAGCACTTGGGCTCTTTGGAGCTTTATAATGTGCAAATCCCTCCTGAAAAGGGTTGATGGACTTTTCTAAGGGAAAAAAACAGAGTCCATCTTCCCGGCTGTTGTAGATATTAACTGCATTACTAGTTCAGGTATTCAGGAAAACTTAATCCATTTTGCAGTTTCCTCATTTAGTTTCTTTCTCCCCAGAGGTTTAATTTTTGCCACAAATTAACCGTGAAGGTACAATCCAAAGAATTTTGCTTCTAGTTTGTACCCATTATTTTACTGTCATTTATTTTCTGTTACTGTATTATGTTTCCATTAACTTACTTTGTCCTTCTCATTTAACATATTAATATTATGGTATGAGGATACCATAAAGCAAACATGTGGTATCTCATATATCAATATGTAATTAATGAAGTAAGAGTTCTATACTTTGGACATTAATTGTGGATTCATTCCCAGTATGTTTCTAGACTGGATCATATTTTATATTCAATTTATATTTAAAAGTAACTTATTTGTAAACAGTTTTGCATATCCTGTTTCCAGAGCATGATCATGAAAAAGTATTTTTAAATGTTATTCTTTCCAATAGGTATATATGTCCTATATAGCCCACATACTATATTTCCCTTGCATATTTAATATAGACCAGATAGAGAAATTTTTCCTTACAAGTGTAAAAGTGATTTATAGTTAAGACCTTTGGGCTTTTTTTAAAAAATAATAAATTAGGAAATAGCTTTATATATAAACATTTTCTATGCTGGTCTCCCTCTTCAGCACAGTGCATTCTATTTCATTTACAGGTGTGCTGAAAAAAAACCAAAACATGTTTTAAATAGTGATTAAATTTCTCTTTGTGGCTGCATCGCTTCCAAATTATTAATTCTAGATTTTCATTATAATAAGTGAATTGCATATCTGTCAGAGGATCATAACGGAAATGCAGGAAATGCTATCCTAGCTTCATCCATGAAAACAGGTCTCCAGGTCATTTGTATGGCAGTCCCTTGTGGAATTCTCCATGAGGTTTCCAGCCTGTCTGATATCAAAAATGCACAAGGGCACTTGTTAGACTGTAATTATGAGTTCACTTTCTAATTACCGTAGCACACAGAATTATTTCATGGAAGTTCATTTAACATTAAAAATGTATTGACTGATGGCTCACAATCTAGTAACTTTTTAAAATAGAGCTAGTGAAGTCAATGTAAAAAACAAACAAAAATAACCCCCAAAACTAAAACAACTTTAAAAAAATCAACCAATTTAAATGTTCTCCTTGCACTTTCACTAGGTCATTCTGTCTCTTCCAGGAAATTACTACATTCCAGAAATTCCGCTATGAAATGCACTCAATCAATATTCTTAAAACTGTTTTATTATTATTTATTATTAGGCTGGCATCAAAGGCCTGCATGGGTTGCTGAACATCTGGATTGATACGTAGTATTTGTATTGACCTTTGTCGGAACGGCTGGTGCCACAAGGGTCTAGAGGAAGACAAAGACCTTGACTAAAAGAATTGGTCATGTAATGATACAAACACATTTCTAAGAAGCAAACAAACTCCAGAGCCGTCAATAGGTGACCATTCCGAACATATACAACTATGTTACCTTATTTATGTTATCCTTCCCCGCAACCCAGTTTTGTCAGTTTTCACTCAATAAATTTAGGGCTTGATCCTGTGAAATCTTACTCTTATGACTGGTCCTCACTCATCCAAATACTTCCACTAACTCCAATAAAGCTGTTTGCATGAATAGTGACTACTCATGTGATCAGTGGTTTGCAGAATTGGATCTTAGAGTGTAAGCTCTTTAGGGAATAGATCATGTATTTTATTTGTTCAATAAAGTGGCATAGACATTTGTGGTGCTGCCGATGTAATAATTATAGGAATATTTTAGCTTCTGATCGTATGTCAAAGTGTATATAAAACATTTAGGTTCATAGGAAACCACCTAAGAATTTTTTCTGGTAACATACAATATTTTGCATATTCAGTATATGTAGCTGTTTAGCAAACTGTTGAAGGTACCATTCTTGGAATGACTTACAAACTCTGTAATATTTTTTGTGTGACATCTGGTAGATGACAGTAGCATATTATATTGTCTATTCACATGGCTACTGGCTCCTTCACTTTCCTAATTAAACTGGGTATCAGGGGGGTAGCCATGTTAGCCTGTACCCACAAAAACAACGAGGAGTCCGGTGGCACCTTAAAGACTAACAGATTTATTTGGGCAATAAGCTTTCGTGAAGAAGTGGGTTTTTTACCCACAAAGCTTATGCCCAAATAAATCTGTTAGTCTTTAAGGTGCCACTGGCCTCCTCATTGTTTTAATTAAACTGATGAGATTTAACGGGTTTTTTTCCTGCTTCCCTTATTGCTTCAATAATGAAAGAGGCAGTTTTGTCTCTAAATAAACTGTAATACTGTAACTTGTGGTACTTGATCGTTACAGAGTAAAGCTTACATTGTACTTTCAAAGCCAGAAGAAATTTATAGCTGTTTCAGACCCTGTTTGTCCCAGTAGGTGTCACTGCTGGGACTGCAAGGTGGCAACCTCAGGCCTGCAGTGCATATTTTTTTTTTAAAGATGCTTGACAGTGTACATTAAATTAACTAGATGCCTAAATGACACCTCTTTCCCATCCCAAGGCAAGTTGTTCCAGTGGTTCATTATGCTCACTGTCAAAAATGTGCCCCTTATTTCTGGTCTTAATTTGTCTACCATCAGCTTTCAACCATTCAGATCTTGTTATGCCTTTTTCTGTTAGGTTAAAGATATGTCTGTTTAACCCATCATTGTTTAGATAGGAAGTTTCAACACTTAAGGAAAACAGATAATCTCCAGTGAGTTACATCTTCTGTGGCTACTGGGTTGTTTTGATGCCCACAAGTGCTTCTACCCTGGCATATGGTTTGTACTAAATTTAAGAAACAAGAAGTCTATGCATTTAATTCTAAATATCTTAATGTTTCATGAACAAAATTTCTCACTCTTCAAATTTTGTTTTTAAAGAAGGAAATGCAATCTTATTTTGAGCTAGAACTGGTGATACTTTTATTAGCACAAAATACATGGTTGTTCATAATGTTAAATGCTACTTACAGGAACCCAAATGGAAGATTTTGAAGTTTTCCGTCTTTGTGTTGTCACCATGGAACCCTGCTTCTCCAGGTTTTCCATAACTTCTTTTTCTAGTGCTCTCAATTTAAGTTATATGAGCTTTGATGTATGTTTTACTTGTGCTAGGAGAAATGCACCTATGAAATGCCACCTGCATGCAAAAAAATCCATATTAGAATGGTTTTAATTCCCAAAGTTACATGGGGGTCCTGTGCACAAAGAAAAATGATTACTCATTCATTTTAGTCATATAATCTTAAAATACCTTAAAATGTCATAGGGGCACATACATCACATCTGGGATAAACCTTTATAGTCTCCCTACTTTTAAAAAAAAACAAATGTATACTGCATGTGATGGCTTAAGAAAAAAATCACAATTATTCTGTATTTTACGCAATATATTTATCAGTAATCTGTTCTGCATGCAACTTTAAGATAAAAGCTTGTCGTCATTTTACTACTTGCTTTTCTGAGTCACTTACAAATAAAAAATTGCACATAGTGAGACTGGCCGGTAGAGGCCTCTCTAGATTTGCCTTATGATGAAGAACTCTTAGAATGTGCCTTGAATCAGACGCAGTTAGCAAAACTACTTGAAAAGATTCTTTTGCATACGGGGGGAAAAAGATCACTCTTTAATGCCCTTTTAAGTTGCAAGATGTTGATTAATGTTGCCCTTTACATTAATGATGTTTCAAGTAAAAGAAAACAAATTTAAAATGGATAAATTCTATTGAGGATGCATTAATTAAACAGAGACTTTACCATATGCTGTGGCTGGAGTGCTTGCTGGCCTTTCTGTTGTTGTTACCTGTGTAAAATCCACCCCATCCTCTACATGAATGCCCAAGCTGAATAGCCATTTGAATGAAGGCTTTAGTTTGATTCGCCATACAAGGGGTACTGTGTCACTGTGTTTTCTTTCTAGGAGTCACTAAGTGATTTCTATATCTGTTGTCATGGTGATATAGCAAAGCAGGGGAAAATGGGGGCAACTTCAGGCTTTCTCTACACCCTCTGCACTAAGAACTAAGATGTTGTTAGCAGGCCTATAAACCATTGGGCTTTATCTGGGCCTTCTTTTTGTTCTCTGATTGTCAATAAAACTCATTTTAAGGGTAACAAGGACATCTAAATGTCATCTGTCACAGTGTTAGAGAGATTAAGTTTGTTTAGGAACTTGTGCTCGACAAAAGGCCACTATTTGTTCGGCAGATACAAAGCAGTGTTGGCTATCAGTGCTCTTGATTTAGAAGGAGGCCCCTGGAACATCTAGGAAAGATCAGCTCAGTTGCAGGTGATAGTGAGAGGTCTCTTGACATAACAGCATTTAAAACAACACCAAAATAAATATGGTTTTGAACTAAAAGCTATTTTATTGCGGGGAGAGAGGGTGCTTTCCATTTCCTTTGTAGACAGCACATTACTAACGTAGCCTCCCAGACCAGAGGTAAGAAAACAGCCATTGACAGCCATCGGCCTGTTTAAAAACATGACACCCACACCTGATAGTCCTTGAATGAATGATAAAAGAAGAGGGAAAAGAGGGTTTTTTTCCAGGGAAAATCCAACAATAATAGGTGCTGCATTAACTCAGCATTCACTCAATAATGAGGCTAAATGGAAAGTACAGATTAATGAAGACATTGGTGTTATTAAAATCAAATCCTCTGGTTCATATGCTTTTCTTAATAATGAACATTGTGGCTATTGGAGAGGAAGAACAGGATTTTTTTTCTATTAATTTGGCACACATCCCAGATCTCATTCAACCAGAACCTATCCAGTGCAAAATGCAACCCATGGCCTTTATGTTCCACAGTCTTTCCATTTTATATTTGTGTTAATCCAGAAAGAAGGCTTTTCTTTTATCAAATTAAAGAAAAGCAAAGGGTGATCTTTGAGCGTAGATATTAATTAAATAACAGACTAGCCATGTTCCTCTCAACACAAAGGTTGGTTGAAGAATAAGTACTAAAATATACATGGGATTATCCTTATTTGCACTACCTATTTGTGCACTTTTAATATTTTTGTGTGTCATTAAGAATATAAAGGAATAATGCTTGTGAAGTGTTTGGAGGCTTTTTAAAAACTGAAACATATAGTAGAATATCTAGGTCTTAGACAATTTAATATGGTTTAGTCTCATTCTGTGAGCTTGCACAGTTTTGGTACCAAAAGGAGCATTTGAAACAGCTAAACAATGTGGTTGGCAGAGCTAAGTGATATTTTACAATATGGTCTCTGGGCAATGTTTGTTTGTAATATGGAAGGAGACTGAATATCTTTCTTGGGTGTATATCTGTTTGTTGATGTTTAAGGCTAAATCCTGCAGTACCGACACCACTGGGAGTTCTGCTTGACTATCACTACAAAATCTGCTCCTTAGTGAAGTGATTTTAACTATGTTGTTCCTTTCCTGGTGGTCTATAGATTCAAATATTTTGAAAATCATGCAGTGTGGAACTGGGAGAGAAGAGGTGGCCCGTGGGAAAGGATTCTTACTCTTCTCAAGTAGTCTAAAAATGAAAGAGCTGAAGAAACTCTGCTTCTTAGTAAATTATAGGGGCTAATTCAAATCAATCTGCTAATTTGATTCTTCATCTGGATTAAAGCAAGTTTGTGTTGCCAAGTAAATTATAGCATGTGTTCCATATACTGTACAAACTTCAAATCTTTTGCATAGCACAAAAATAAGCAATTTTGTGGAGGTGGAAATGAAATCACTCTAGTACAAGGTCTAAAAATCCTCTTTAGGTGCTGGAAGTAATGTTGTCTCACTCCCTTCTGGAAATGTGACTGTAAAAAATTAAAACATGTGTAAGTATTAAAACTAAACATAATATGCTTCTACTTACAGCTCCTGTACTAAGAATTTCCCTGCCTGATAACATTTAAATGCAGACCCTAAGCTACATCTGCTCCAGGAGGTGTGGGGCATTTGGTGCCATCTTTTGTGAGATCTGGCTTCTGGGACTAGTTTGGGACTGATCTAATTTCTGTTGCACATTAGTGTAGCCCAAGGGTATCAGGATAGCCAAACTGCAGTTATGGCTCCAGTCATGCCCTCTCGTCTCTTCCCATGCCCTTGAACCATGGAGATATACAGGAGTGGTTTAGAGTCCCTATGCCACCCAGGGATTCCCCTTACAAAGGAGGAATTCCCATGCAGACAATTAAGGTGGTTTTCTGGCCTTTGTGCTGCCAGATTGGCACAAAACAATTAGACTAGGAGGTCAGAAACTGTTCCTTAGTGTTCCATATTGGAATCAACTGCCAGACAAACATGGAGCAGGCTTGTGAGAAGGAAGTATGTGGCTTTTTCTTTGCGGACTTTTTAAACTGCTCTCCTGTTCTTTATTATTGTAGGTATGTGGTCTGCTATTCATTCAGCCATACCAAAGATTCCATGGTGTTTACAAAGTTAAAAGGTATGGCCTGCAAGCCAGGAACGCCTGAGTTTCCTTTCCTGCTTGGACTCTGATTTATTGTCTGCCTTGAGAAAGTTACTTTACCTTTGTGCCTCAGGCTCCCATCTGTAAAATGGGAATAATAATGTATACCTACCTCATGGGAATATTGTATGAACGAACGGTCACAGGGCACTTTGAAGAAAGTGTTCTGTAAGGACTAAGTGATATTGTTAAGAATAACCCTGATTTGTTTGGTGGTTTTGCATTAAGATTTATTTCCACTGCTATACAGTATCTTCTATCTTTTAAAAACCTCTTCTGACTGTGATGCAAACAAACGAGAAAAAGTACATGATTTCTGGTATTGAATCATTTCTCCATTATTGTAAAGTGCAAATTGTTTCATAATTTTTAAATTAAAAAAAGCAAATGGCATTTGAGAGACTCCTTCCTTTGGCCCTGCAGCAGCAACACTATTGAAGGCCTAATTACTTATGCAAGTAATCCTATTGACTTTATTGGAAATACTAAGTACTAGTCAGTGTGAGAAGGACTTGCAGGATTAGGCCTCAGTTAGGAAATGGTATTAATGCCATCTGAAACCTGACCACCTTCTCTAGCTTCAAACAAGTTCTAGCTGTGTTAGAGTGTTGAAACTGGGACACTTGGAATAGTTCTGAGAGCAGAAAGCTCTCTGTAGAGCCAGATCACGCAAACTTTATAAATGTAAAACTTTCAATAGGAATTTTGCATTGGTAAAGTCTGCAGGATTGGGCTATCAGTCTTTGAGCTTCTTACATGCTGTTGGAAATAAATCGGCAGAGGTGCCTGGGAATCTTCAAGAGCACAGAACTTCTTCATTAAGGGCAGGATTCAGATACCCTTTCTGACGTTGAGAAGTCCCTTATGTCAGTGGGACTAGTTGTGTAATGTCCTGTTTGAATGGAGTCCCGAAGGATGTAATCCTGCCAGTTGGTGGGTGCCTTAATTTCCCCTTGAAGTCAGTGGGAGCAGAGGGCTCTAGCCAGTTGGCAGGATTGAACCTTTAATATTAAGTGGTAGAATTACTCAGGTGTACCTGAGAGAGTTGAAAGATTCTTTTACAGCAGCTGTTAAGAAATGAACAGAAGGAGAATGGTGAAAATGGCTTCTTCATGTTTTTTATTTGCTACAGACATTAGATGTGGTTCATTTTGGTTAAGTGAAACATTTTCTATTGTTGTTTCTGATATTATTCCTGCTTATGATTGAAATAATGACAACAGCAATCAACTAGCTGTATACACTAAAGAGAAGACTGAGCTGTGGTCCTTCATTGGGGTTAGCAGAGTCTGAAGTTGTTAATTTATTTCAGTTTGTGACTGTATGTGAGATCTGTCCATACTCTCTTTGCAATGAGTTTAACATTCAAATTGCAGAACAATTCCAGTTAGAAAAGTTATTGCCATTTACAGTTAATTCCAACAACTAACAGAGAAAAATCTAGCAAGAAAACAAAAGTGTGTTTTATTATATTTTTACAACTATTAACTTATTGTGAATTGCTAAGGTTTGTAAAGATCTTTGAAGATGAAAAGCTCTATATAATATTATTGTACTGGCTTGGAGAAAGTAAAAAAAGAAAAAAACCTGTTCATCCTGATATAATCCTTTTAGAAATTTTAACAAATCCAACTGCTTTCAAGTACTGGAAACATTTTAGAAAGTGCCACCAGACTGCTGCTGTTGCTCTAGGCTATCTTATCATATACCATAGCATGCATGGAACCAAAGCTTAACTAAGGTCTTTCTAATGAATTTTGAACAGTTACATGGACCTAATTGACTTTAGGTCCTGTTTGAAAGGCAACCTCTTCATGCTGCAATACTTAGCAGAAACCCGAGTTGTGTTATCAGCCTACTCTGCATTTTTCATCATCTGAAAGAGCTATGAATAATGCTTAGTTTATGAACTCCATGCAAGTATGTGCCTTTTCCATAAGGTGTCTGAATAATAGATTTTTCAACTTTTGAAAGGAACTGAAAATGTATGTTGTTCTGCTAACTACTCTTCCAGCTCTAGTTTCTCTTTCTCAAATTTGGTAACCAAAATGATTCTTGGCTATAAAAAGCCAGCGTTTTACCCAACTCTTTTGATATTGATTCTTTCATCCATTCACAAGAATGTTTTGAGATTTTCCACAGTATTCCAGAAATTATTTTCCCTTTAGTCTAATACAGTGTACAGAACAGGGATCTCAAAGTCCAGATATCCTGGATTCCATTTAGAACAGTACAGAATTGAGTTGTTTGTGATACTGATCTTCAGAAGTGTTCCGTATCCACAATTCTTACTGAAAACATATAATAGGAATTGGACTTTGGATCTGATCCAGCATGCCATCTAGTCCAGTATCTTGTCTCTGACTGTGACCAGTACTGTTTGATTGAGTGGAATGTCTAAG